GCGTGGGAGGGTGGGAGCGCTGCTGCAGCCAGGTTGCTGCAACTCTCTGCAAAGATGCAATGCATCAGCCCCGCAAAATTGCATAGAGGTGGGAGCCCTCCCGTGCCCGGGTCACTGCAATGCTTTGCAAAGATGTGCGCATCGCCTCAAAAATTGCAGGGGGTGTGTGGATTTTTGCATCCCACCCCCAGCCCCGTTGGATGCAAAAACCCCCCTCCACCTGCAGATGCAAAACCGCATCGATGGGGTCGGTGCACGCGCATTGCTCCTCATCGCTGGTTTTGCGCCAAAAAGGGCAGGAAAAAACTGGAAAAAAATGATTTTTGGGGGGGGGGGGCACTCCCCCAAACAACCTTTCTCCCGCAAACACTGCAGCCTCATCCCCCCCGTTGCCAGCCCGGGGGTCCCATCCGCGAACCCCCATCCTGATGCCGTCATCCGACGGCGAACAAACCCCATATTGAAGAGGAGGGGAGAGTGGGAAAACCAGCTGGGGAGGGCGAAGCGGGAGCAAGAAAGGCTTTAAACAAGCCCGAAAAGTCATGGGACCTATTGGTATGCAGCGTCCGTCCGTCCGTCCTCCCCGGCAGCGCAGAGCTCGGCCCCAAAAACATGCCCCGACCCAAAAAATTTAGGGGACCCCCCCAGGGAAAACCCAAGCACGGGATGGGGATGCGGCTTTTAATGCACCCTTGCACCCACCGCACCCCCGAATCGCTGCTCTTTAACCGTTTCTTCCCTTTTTTAACCCAATTGCTAATTTTTTCTCCGCGCCGGGTAATAAATTTGGGAGTTAATTTATAAATCAGGCAATGAGCCCATCTCCTGCAGCATCCCTGGCTTAGGGATGGAGATCTCCCACTTCTCCTGGCTGGCTCTTGCTGAAAAAAACCCACCAAAAATCCTCATTTTCCCACTATTTCATGGAATAAATCCCTATTTCTTTGGAAAAAGCACAGCAGCATTTTTGGGGTGCCCTGGCTGCGGCCCTGGAGCTTTTTTAGGGTGTAAATCAAAGCCGCCGGCGTGCAAAACCAACTGGCTTTGCTTTGCGTCCTCGGCTCATCCGGAGGGAAATGGGGCCTCCACGGGGCTGGTTTTGGGTCCAAACTTTGGTAAAATGGTGCAAAATTGTTGCAGGTGATTTTCCGCATTGCCGGACCCAAGATGGGGTGGTTTGGGGCTCGTTGAACCCCGAAATACAGGTATTTGGGGAATAAATGATGGATGCAACCAGGGTGGCAGTGGGATGGGGTGAATGGGAACGAATGTAGAAACGGGGTGTAAAAAGGGCTTTTTGGGAAAGCTGAAGGATGGGTAAGAAAATAGATTTGGGGATGCTAAAAAATGAGCAAAAAAAGAGGTTTTGGAGAAGCCGAAAAGCTGGGGACAAGCTGCCGGATCCACCCCCCCAGCAGGACCTCCTTGGCTCCGGAAAAGTGTTTTTCCCGGTTTTTATTCCCAATTTTCCCCCTTTTTTTCTTCTCCCAAGCGGAGGGGATGCTCGACGGCGCAGCAACCCTCCCCCCCAGATCCCCCCTTCATCGGGTACC